AATTATGTTTAACATTATTGGTGGCTTTTATTGACAAAATTTTTGTATACCTTTATAATAATTGAAAAAAAAATACAATGTTTTAAACAATTTTTCGTGTTCTTGGCATTTTACTTGGCATTTTTCTCTGATTTGCGAGTTCTAGGACTTCCTATACCTAAATTAGAAAAAATAACAACATTTTATTTCAAATTTAGCATTTTATTATTTCACTCTGACAAGAATAATATACTCGTACAGGTATTTAAAAAAATAAAAAAAATCTCAAGATAGAAACACAAAGTGTTTGAATTTTTTTTTGAATCTTAGAATTTAGTACAAAACCTTTATTTCATATTTCAATCATTTTTCGATAAATACAATCTCTACATATTATTAAAAATAGATGAGCTAAAGTTACTGAGTACGTCTTGTTGCCAATTGTAATATTTTTTTTATAAAACCATTTCTTGTTTTTTAATTTGCACAGTCAGATCTCAGTAGTGTTCATAGTTCTGTCCCCTGCTAAAAAAAATTTAACATTTAATCTGCAACTTCAAGAAATTTGAGATTTTCAGCATGTCAACATAAAGAAAGTTTTATTTTGTTGGTTTTTTAGGAGTACGAAAGGTACTCCGCTCGACTGGAAGTAAAAAATTGTTGAAAAAGTCTCTATCAAAGAGGACAAAGGTTTTTAAAGACAAAATTATGAGCACCGACAATTTTCAGAGGCTAATACTGAAACCGTGGAGAGAAATAAATCCATGGCTGATACTTAGAGAAGCCAAAGAGGAATTACAAATTATTTTTGTTTTAACTGTATTATTATAAAAATTCGTTCCGTTATTTTAAGTAATAAATCTCTCTTCTCTTTCGGCGCGGATGGCCCCTGATTATTTATCAATTACTTCTGATAATAACCCGAAACGAAAATCTGCGTCCCGATGAGTCGCTTTGCCATATTTAGTCGTGGAATTCTAAATATGGCCGGTTATTTTTCATAATTCGGCCAGTATGTTGTTTACTCGACTCTATATAAGCGTAGAAAATTAATCATAATCATATGTTTGAATTTCAAATCTATTTTTCTATTGTGGTCGTTGCTCATTTTGAAATTAAACCAGCGGGATAGCCGAATTATCATTTGTCCAAATTTGAGCGAGGAGATAAATTGAAAACTGAATCGCGTTTTTATCTGCGGTGTAATTTAATGTAATGTATGTAATTATGCAAAAATCCTCACATTAGGTCGTTGCGAATTTTCTCGTGTGGTCTTTAATTTTCGCGTCAGACGTGATGTAAGATTTACATATACGAATTTTGCTAAATTTTTTCCCGACGAGGAATTAATTAGAGATTTACTTGCAATTAATACAAAATTAAATAGTGGTTGTTGGACTCCGCCCTAATCTGATTCCGAATGAGTTACAGGGTGGATGGCGAGGATAAATCAGTCTGAGGAAATGGTGCATTTTTCGCCTTGCGTTGGCGCCGATTTTTCGAATTCCCTGGACTCACTCTTGCGCGGAATTTCTCGTGAGGCATTTCTGATGCATGCCTCATCAAAGCGAACATCTTGCATAAATTATTGTTTTTGTGTGAAGCTCGTGCCATATAATATCTGACCTCAGTTCAGCCTCTGAATAGTGTCGGCTTTTGACACCGATATAAAAGATTGATGTCCGATCAATCTGTTCAGTGATGATCGATTAAGTATTTTTTTCGTCACTTCTCAACTTTGCGGAAGTTTTTGTTTGTCGTCGAGGAGAAAAATGTCGTGAAAGTTAATACGGGAGATTTGAAACCGCGACCTGAAAGGATAATCCCGTTAAAAATAATTACCGGGTTTATGTTCAATTTTATTGCGATCATATTGACCAACAAAAATTAATTTACATGGCACTAAAGCCGGAGTTAATTCGGTGTTTGCTATTTTGGTGCTTGCAAGAGGAAAAAATCGCCAATCAGGAATGTTTAAGAACTGGGCGTATTAAGATGAGAGAGGAGCGTTTTATGCCTAATGCGGGTAGCACGCAGCGAAATTAGCATTGACAGGAGGCTACAAGTAATTCCATAAACATTAAGAACGAGCTCGAGATCGCTTACATTGCAATTACATGTCAAACAGTGTGGAATTATTGGTGGGAAACTTGGCAACTGGGATAACAAACACGAAAAGAACGAATAAACTCCGGCAACTAGAATGGCATTTGGTACAAGAAGTGGCATTTTTCGCCATTATCTCTGACAGCGATCTTCATGGGTAGCATCGGAATCTATACAAGATGCATGTGTGGCAGGTCAAGGTAGGTTCTTCGATATTTGTAAGGAATCGACAAGTCTTTAATCGAAACTTTTAATTGAGAGATGGATTCTTAATTAGACTATATTTGGAAGCCTCAGCAAACAAGTCCGAGAAAGATTAATGAGTCGAAGAAGTGCCACAATCAAAGAAAAAATTACTAAACACGAATAAGCGACAAACCGCTTTACCACTAGCAGTGGCGGAACAACAAAGTTGAGTCCCAAAGAAAAAAATCAACTTTTTAGTGTTAGAATTCGCTATAACTGAAACATTAAAAAAATCACTAAAAGTATTATACACTGGCCGCCAAAATTAACCGGACAATTAAAATTTTGCGATTTTTCACATTGCAGTATTTTTGTTATTCTTTGTCGGATTTCGACGAATTTTTGTTTGGCTTAAAGAAAAAACTTTGTAGATCATTGTAATTTAATTCAATAACATTTCTAGTTGTGTCTTCTAAATGTGATACCCAAAAGACAAATGTGCTGTTTTTTTACTTATTTATATACTGAGCTGTGGTGTGCAACAGAGACTTAACTTAAGTTTTTACTGATTTCAGATTATTGTTCATTCTTTTCTCATTTCTCATAATTTTAATTTTTGAGACATGAGGGATATAAACCTTTAAAAAACCATTACATTTCCAAATTCAGTAAATGTTCGTATTAAATAGGCCGAATGTATGAAAACATCAAAATAAGCGCTTGGAAGTTTCCAATAATTAACCGTTTTACTTGTTGTAATTCTTTGAAGTTCCAAGTTTTTTAATTTTTTTGTGCTCAAAGACGTAATTGTGCTCTTGTGGTGAAATTGATCCTCATTCAAAAAAGAACGGTCAATAATCTGAAATAAGTAAAAATTTAATTCTCTGTTGCACACTACAGCTCAGTATAAAAAAATAAAAAAATAGTGCTCTCGTCTTTTAGGTATAACATTTACAAGACAAAACTAGAAACGTTATTGAATTAAATTACAATATTCTGCAAGTTCGTTTTTTTACCCGGACAAAAATTCGTGGAAATCCGACAAAAAATAACAAAAATATTTAAATGTAAAAAATCGTAAAATTTTAGTTGTCTGGTTAATTTTGGCGACCAGTGTAGTTTATTACGAAATAAAATTGCCGTTTTAACGTTTAAACACTAAATCTGCGTTCACTTTTGCCCCTAAAATCCAGATGAGCCTAGCGTAATCTCCGAATCCTGGCCCCATTTTTTACGTTAAAAATTTGATTGAAGCGCTGACGACATGATTGATGGTTTTTTATTCGTAGACGTTGCCAATATTCGGTCGAATTCAAATCCTAGCCTTATCTCGTCCGTTTAACCGGCGATTTTCATTTTTCACGCTCCATATTTTCATAATATGTTTACCCGAGATCGAAGTCGTGTACTTATCCGTTTTACCCTCCTTATCTCGATCCGTATAAATAAAAAACAAATTCTGGGAGCTGTTGAACGGATATCCTCTCGTAAAAATTTATACGCGACGCTTTTCTTTGCAAATTCCCTTTCCGGTGAGATTAATTACGATTTGAATAAGGCTAATATGAACGAATGGGTTGGTAGGTATTAAGCGCTTCCGGTGTTAAAGGATTTACATTCGACACGCACTGACGCTCCTCTAGGACTAGTCACACAGTTCCACCCTATTCCGGACGCCTAACAAGGATTAAATGGCTGTTATCTACGTACAAGTTCGGGTGGTTTACCGTATTTAAGGTGAAACAGAGATTAGGTTTGATGTTGGACCTTTTGACGCAACTAACTTAAAGCTGACCACTTTAAACACATTTTTGATTAAGGGAAAAGTCAATATTTTGGGTTTTGAGAAAATCGGCGCCAACGGGAAAACCCAGAGCGCAGTGCGATGAACTTTTCTAATATATTACCATAATGACGTATTGATAAAACTTTCAAACGCACTAAATCAACCTACCTACACTGCTGGAAGTAAAAAAAATAAAAAAGAAAGGCATTTAACATTATTAATAAAGTTTTGACATCTTAATTTCACACTTTATATTTGAATTTTTCAAATTTTCAAAATTAGCGAAATTAGCAATACAAGCTAAATTTTCACTTAGCTTAATATCTAAAGTCAGCAGTGAGGAGTTGTGAGGGTTAACCTCGCCCAGAATAAAATCAGGCAAAATTATTTTGTATTTATAGTTGAATAAAAAAAATAAAGAACACAAAGCATAATAACAAATAAGTGAACAAAGCATAAGTAAAGGAAAACGCATAAAAAGCATAAAAGCTTATTTTTATTTCGTACAGTGACTATATAATACAGCCACTGTACCTACCCTACACTAACCGAAATAAATACAATAAGGAGGAATTGAGGAAAAGGGCTCAACGATAGAAAACTTTTTTTTCGTGAGATATCTACAATCATTTTGTTCGATACAAAAACTGTAGTAGCTTAATATGTAGAATGCTGTAATACGTCAATGTTTGTGCTAACATTTATAGATGTCGCGCTACAGTTTCCTGTAAACTTGGTATTATTGATTTTCTAGCTGTATTTATGAAAGCTTGTGAATAATTAAAGCTTTCAATTACACAAATTTGTTATTGTACTTTTTTGGTTACACCCCTAATTAATAGTTATTTGTATTAATCAAGAAAGGAATTTTAGTGTAGGACAGTGAGCTATTTTTCTCAAGTTTAGCTCTCGCCTAAAAGATGTCTCTCTTTCTTCTTTGATTTAAAATTGATAAAAATGTTTTATCTTCACTATTTTCTCTAAATAAATTAAAAAAATCACACAAAGATAAGCTAAAAAACCAAATCTGACAGTGTTCGTGCATCTATTTATGGAAATGTCGACAAATTAGGTAAATAACCGGGCTTCAAATGGCCCAAATCTTTCATTAGGCAATTGATTTATTATTAAATTGCAAGCCCGGCCGTTCCTGATTTATGACGGCCAGAAATAAATATCTCCAAGTAGAATGGAGATAGGTCTTGGAAAAGCTCTATTGTTTTATGGTCGTTTGTAATTTATTGACCTACGAAACATTGTGTCTTAAAATCAAAAGAAACGTAATTTTTAAAATATCGCCTTTTACAGCTTGTTTCGTTGTTTCGTCGAGAAATTAATTCAAATAAATGAAACGGAAAGCTTTTCATTAATCAAATGGAGAGAAACATCGTAATCATAGGCGACGGATATGTCGGCAAAACGAGTATTTTAAATGCGATCAAAGACAAGAAATTTCAGGAACAAATTCCTAATGTGTAAGTACGAATTTTGGTTTTATAAAATTTCGAAAATTTTCTTCAGGTATGATGATTTCGAGTTGTGTCAAACGGTAAACGGCAAACAATTCCAACTCAAGTTTATCGATACGGCAGGCCAGGAGGAATTCGCAATGATCAGGAATCTTTCCTACAAAGATGTAACTTTGAAACTACTTAATTTTCCTATATTCAGTGTCAGTTTTCCAGGCGAACCTTTTTTTATTGTGCTTCGCAGTTGACGATCCAGTTTCTTTCGAAAATATGGAAAGTGTCTGGGTACCAGACTTGCAAAACTGTAAAGATGTACCAGTGGTTCTCGTTGGTACAAAATCAGATCTACGCAAAACCAATTCCTGCATAAATCGAGACGAAATTATCAAATTTCAGAAAAAAATCAATGCTCTATTTTACGCAGAATGCTCAGCGAAGACTTTGGACGGAATTGAGGATTTGAAGAAAAGGATTTTGAAGTTGTTTGCCAAAGAAAAGTCTTGCATCATCCAATAAATTAAATTTCTTTTACTTGAAAATGGCTGTGTTTTATTTTTTCAATAAAAAATTTGTTTTATCTAAAACGATTTTATTATCAGTGAGTCACAATCCACCTTTGTCAACTGGATTTTATCTTATCTAAAAGATTTAAAATAATGCTATTTTTTGTAATGTTGGTATCAACAATTTTTGTGCACGTTTTAGTGACTGCTTACAAGTAAGTTAACAAATTATTTAATCAATCAATTTCACGCACTCGCAATTTTTTAATAAAAAGGAAATAAATGAGACGGTTAAAATGAAACTAAACTGCAAACAAAATTAAATTTCCTAAATGGCGTTTTTATGGGTATATATATTTCGTTAACGAGCTTCTATACAGTCATTTGCATTTTGCTTGTTCACATTTTTTAGCTTTGGAAATAATTTATTGGTTATATTGTATCAGATGTCAAAGGTCACCGTTCGCCATATTTCGTTTCACATCTCTCCATTACACTGTAAACTGTAACTAAAAACGCAGTTTTGGATCATTAGATAAATTTTGTGAAAAAAAATGTGTTCTCTGTGTTGGAGAGGGTCATAAGTGCGTTTTTGTTAGACTATGAAGAACCAAATCCGGATAACCGTCGTCGGCGACGGCGACACGGGCAAAACCTGCATGTTGATAGTTTACAAAGACCGCAAATTCGACGAACGCTACATCCCCACCGTCTTCGACGTCTACTCAATGAACTTAACAATAAATAACAAAGAGTACACCATGATATTACAAGACACAGCCGGTCAAGAAGAATTCGACAAACTCCGACAACTGGCCTATAAAGACGTAAAACAGCCCCCTCTAGTCCTATTTAAATTTTTCCTCATGCCATTTTTCAGACGGACGTATTCATCTTGTGTTACGCAGTGAACGACGCCAATTCCTGGGATAACGTCAAGGAAAAATGGGCGCCGGAAATACGAAGATGTTGTCCTAGAGCGAAATTGATATTAGCTGGTATTAGTTTTGGAGTGAAGAAATCTAAATATTTAATCGTCTTTTTTCCAGCGACAAAATGCGATCTTGAGAGTGAGAGAATAGTGGACAAGAAAAGTGGCCAGAAACTGGCTAAACTCATCAAAGCTGACGATTTTATTGAGAATTCCGCAAAGTTGAGAAGGAATGTCGACGAGACCATTTGTTTAGCACTTACGGTTTTTATAAATGCGCAGAAGACGAACAGAAGGGAAAACACTTGTGTACTACTCTAACGTGTGATAAAAGTCAATTTTTATTAAAAAACTGTGATAATATCCAGAGAAATATTTATTTGAAGGATTATTCTTGTCGTCGTAGACTTTTATGTGTCCTTAGATGTCTTTACAACCTAACTGCAATAAAATTCTACTAAAGCTTAATACACAGCCTTTGACATTATTCAAATAATTATACTAAAACCCGCTTGAGATTCACAGACCCCTAAACCCGGATATCTTATTTTGTCACTGTTATACCAACTGAATGAAAAATGATTTTCTATTATACGACAACAAATGCCATCAAAATACTAATTTCAAAACCAAAAAAATTATGACGGAAGCACGTAAAGGTATATTGTTGAAAGAAAAAAAAATGTTTTACTAATATAATGAACAAAAAAACCAAAGCGACTTGCTCACCGGGAGACTTTGTTTCGAAACTCTGTCGCGTCTCTAGTACAATGTCTAAAAATTTAATGCAAGAAATAAGAGTTATGAAACTGAGAGTAGGTAGGTCAAAAAAGATCTCAGAAAAGCCCAAGAAACACAACGTAAAAAGATTGTTATGTAAAATTATAAAAGTAATTTTTTTCAAGTAATTCAAGTAATTTGTTTCTAAATTAAGTTTTAATAATTTTTGAGATAATTTTAATGTATTTCAAAGTTAGGCTGCAGATGGCAATTTATTGCCATGTTCCAACAACGTTAAATTATAAATATTTTTACAATTGGAGAAGCGACTTTATTACCTTCATATTTTTTAACTTCAAGTAATTCTTTTAGAAGAAAATAATCAAATTTGTCCTTCAAAATATTTTAACACAACGACCGCTAAATATCAGACGTATAGAACTATTGACAGTGTAAATATGATGATTTTTTTTGCAAACGTATGCAAAAGGTTTCTGATATTGACAGTATTGATACATTTAGAATTTAAGCCAAAAATAAGCTCAAAATAAGAAATAAAAATGATCAATCATGAATACTATAAACGTCAGATTAAATTTTATTTTAAAACTAATTTAAGTAGCATTTTTTTATTTAAAGAATTTTTTAAGTGTACTTTCGATTTATTAGTTTTTTTTCATTCTTAAAATGTTTGAAACTGAAAAAGGTATAACTTCTGTATTTCCTAATGCATTTCCTAACGCATGTTCTATAATTTGTATTGGTTCTAAATCGTAATTCTATGATAAATAAATTGTGCCTTAAAAATTATTTATGTAGGTACTTTTACTTATTTTCCCTCATAAAAAACGTAATTTGATACAGGTGTCAAATATGAAATATTCTTCTCTTCTATATTTTTCAAATATTTTGGTAAATAAGGCTGTACGTAAACAATAAACGGGGAATTTGATTTCAATTTTTTCGAGTTTGTGTTGCACTTTTTCTGTTCTGCGAAGCATCTTGGCTGTCCAACTAGGTAAATAGATCAGTGGCATATTTCGGCAAACGAGGTTGCATTTAAATATTCAAATCGGGCGCCGATTTATATCTCTGCTGTCCATTTCGAGCATGAAAATGCCATATTTCACAGCTAGATCTTCGATAATGCAAAAACTAAACAGGCAGTATTTATTGTTTTGTAGGATTTATATACCGGGTGATAAATCAGTTAGTCCGGTGACAAATTCGTCGCAATGATCGTAGCGCGGGTCAACGATCCTCGGCTTTAAATTAACATTTCAGCGAATGTCCTTCCTCTTATGGATGGCTTCATGTCTCGTAATATTTAGGGTAGAACACCGCCACATCCTCGTTGCCGGAATTGCCGTACATCACGTCCGCTTTTGCAGTTGATATTGAGAAAGTGCACTGTTTCAAACCTTGCCACATACGTTACATTGAATTTATTCATTTAATCTCGACGCGCTCATAGAATTTTTATTAGCACGATGCTTACCAAGAACTAATAAAACGACAACAGTGTCTTTAAAACGGCACTACTTTGCCGCTTTTCTAAATCGAATTTTATACAATGTTTCGTATTTCTATTACAAATGACAACGGGAAGTAAACTCTCAAAGATGGGGGGAGAAAAAGCTGTGGGACGAAAAGTATTAAAAGTATCTACCTCTGAAAAGACGTTTATAAAATTTATCGAAGCGGAAGTCGGAGTTTGTGCTATAAAAAGCAATGGAACTCTCAATTGAACTGTGTGGTAACTATTCGAATCTGGTTCACCACCAATGTGTATCTCTTATCACCGGGACAAGATCGAATTGTGGAAATCAAACGTACGTAGACGAGCCATCGACCACCGCATGGAGTGATAACACCAACGTTTCGAATTCATTACTCAAAAATATAACAACCTCAGCAAAAACTAAAGATTTTTTAAATTATTTTTAAACCCTTGTTAATTTACCCAACGTCTAATTTTTTTAGTAATATAACTACATAAAATATTAAACATTGAAACCTCTGCTTTACGGAAGTTTTCCCTTATAGAAATAACAGAAATTGAAGGTAAAGTGAAAAATTTAGCCTTCAAAATACAAAGTTTTATCGTTTGTATGGTAGATATAACCTATTTTACGACAAATCTTATTTGAAATTTCTGACAGAAAAATGTCGGTGATATTTGTTTCGCATTGCTATCAGCAAGAGAAAAAACCGTTCAAGTCGATTTAAAATAGTCTTCAGTATGTGAAATTTTTGATTGTCATCAGTCGTTATTATACAGGGCGTCCGAGATAACGTGACCGGAGTTCCGATTACGGCCGATGAGATAGAGCTGCGGTCAAATTAAGCGAACAGTTCGCTTTAATTAGTGATATCGCATCCTGAAATCAGTCGAGTTGATTTAAAGCGTTTTCCACTAAAATTTAGCGAATTTCTTTACCCTTACGTGATTAATTTTGCGTTAATTTCAAATCGTACAGTGGAAAATTCTCTAAATTAAGTCTTTGAAATAGGAGCACGCACAAAGGTTCGCCAAAAGTCGATATTTTCAAAGCGTTTAAGGTTAGTTTATTATTATTTCAGGAGAGAATTTTGTGTGATATAAGGCTCAACTCCCTGGAGGTCCGAATCCTATTTAGTCCGATTTGAGGATCCGCCTTGACATGTATTGTCCTCGGAATAATAAAAAGTTAATGATAAATTCAACTTTTTCGGATTGTCTAAGTTTTCCCCCAGATTCAAAAGAGTCAAGGCAATTTTCTTATATCTTAAATAAATATCATCACCTAATGCAAATTCTCTAAACAATGAAGAACAGAAGCTGGTCCTCTTTATGGCCGGTTTTTTGCGTCCTAAAAGCCATCACAATACTCCGCTCAAGAATTATCGCCATTAATTTTTTTACGAAAAAACTAGTGAATTATTTTTATAAAAGCATGAGCGGAGATAATTCGTCGGTTTGCATGTAAATATTTATTATTCGCGACAACGGCCAGAGCTAAAACATGAATTGGAAAAATTATATCGTGCAACACAACGGTATTTTGCTGTTTGCTACGTAACGATGTCCATATGTTTGATTCTAACAAACCTGAACTCGAGAGAGTTTTTAAAATAGAAACGAACTCTAATTGGATTTGTGTCTCGAAATTTCTGCTTTAGCAAAAGTCATTTACTGGAGATGTGCAATTAGCAATCATCGATTGAAGGCAATGCTTGTCCGAAATTGCAACATAAAGCAATCTTTACAATCAATAAAATAGAAGAAAAGGAAAACAGTTAAAAAAAATCAAAATGTGATTTCAAAACTGATTTATTTTATTTTTTATTTTTATTTTCTCACACCTTGTTTCTAAGCATTCCTCTTACGATTTGGTGACTATGAATGATTATCATGCTAACTAAATTTTACAATAAAAAAACAACACTTTTTTGAGGTACCTACAGGGGAATTGCGATCGATAAAGCTGTTTGTTTGGAATTAGTTAGGATGCTAATAATTTGCTAAAATATTTACTTTCCAGCAGAGATAACCCCAAGTATAACAGCCAAAAACCGACTCAGTGATTGATTTGAAAAGTGCTATTTAGAGTTTTGTTTTAATTTTCAATTCATTATCTACAACTTCTCGACTTATCCAAACATTAGCTTTATTTGCAATTCAAGCACTTAGCGTTTGTTGCGAATGTCAGGTAAACAGGGCCGTTTGTGATAAATAAACTCTTCAATCAGCGAAAACGCATCACGTGAAATCTCCCGTAAAGCTCCCTCCTAAAAATCGGGGTCATTCCCTAATTGAAAATAAGCAAATCGAGCGTAGGGAAAACTTTTTTCGGTGGAATAAATAGAACTTGATTATTAGAGGTATAGATCTCAAGTCTTAGGTCATGCATGAAGAAAGTTGGTGATGTTATTTTGGAGTTGGCGTGAAAAGTTGCAGGTCTGTTTTGTTCGCAGTGACCGACTAAGCCACGGCTGTAAAACTTCTCCGGAAGATCTCGGATCTCAAGAGAAGAGCACTAAGCCCCAATTGCTCCGTCATTGCTTTAACTGCACTCGACGACAAAGATTTCCACTTCCAATTTAATATCTGTGTCACCATCGATTAATCAACGCTTAAAAAGCTCGCTGAGATACAAATGTAATTTTACGAGACGGGAAAATAAAAGGTGATAACGCTTGTGAGATTTTAATTAAAAGTATTGCTCAGAACTTTCTATACATATGCAAAGTTTAAATTCAATAAAGATGATACGTCTCTGCACGATCTGAATTTCAGCTTAATGTCACGTTTTGCATTTTGTGAATTCAATTTGGAACATATTCGCTGGGTCTGCACTGGATATCATATGAAATCGGAGAGCATAATGGCAGATAATTAAGGTCGAATATTTCAACACAAAAAGAGTTTTGCCAAGTTATTGAACTTGCAGATACATAAATGCAATACAAGCTCTATAATAATAAGCAAAATAATTCTTTCTTCTGTCTCTATTTAACATAGCTTCAAATTTGTATTCCTCACTATGTAAGCGAGTTCTGGTAATATTTCTAGTTGCGACATAGTAAAGAGGTGGTGCGTTATTTCTACTTAGTTTAAACGGTGCAAATTAGTGTTTAGTTTCATTTACGTACTCTTTTCCTACCCTGAATTCTAAATATATTTACATTGAAAACAAAATTTGCTCTTTATGGTTTATTAATATGAAAATTATTATTTATAAAGAATTATGTTTGTTATGATAAACAAAGCAAGGAAAAAAAGA